GATCTGTTCAGGAAATCTCCTGTCTGAGGTTGTGGGTGAGCCTGCAGTGACATCACAACTCACCTGGTCAACGCAAAGGCCTGGACGGCTCCTGGTTCAGCTAGGTCTGCGCAGTGCGGCCCAGCCCCGTGCACGGGAGGGTAGACCGCTGTCAGGCCCTGAGCTGCGAGTGACACTTCTAGTGCCCTTATGTGCCCTGCCCCATGTTTTCCCTCACTTGAGACACAACAACTCCTTCCAGCAGGGCTGTGGATGGAGTATGTATTTAGAGACCGTCAGTGACAACTGTTACCCTGGGGTAACGGTTGCTTCTTCCATGTCTATTTAATTCTACTGTGACCGAACTAGATTTCTGACTGTTAGGACTTTTTTTCTTTTACATATTCACCCAGTCACCCAAAACAGGGCATGTAATTTTCCTTGGACTTAATAAACAAGTGGCACACATTCCCTTGGAAAGGAGCCTTCTCCTTTTACAAAAAAGGAAGTCCAGTTTCCAAATCCCTGCTATCCTGTCATTCATAGTCTCATCTGACAAACATTTATTTTATGCCTCCATGTCCAAGACACTGAGCCAGAGGCTATAAGTACAAGCAGACCTTGTTTTGTTCGTTCTAAGACACAGATTATCGTTACATTTGAACACAAGCTATGTTTTCTTTGGCAGTGGTACCAAACGAAGAGTGCATCTCATAATTAATGGGCATCTTACACTAGATGAAATACGGTACACAATACAGACCCTGCTCTCAAGCAGCTTACAGATGTTGTGATTACTGTGCTGGCAGCCAATGTTCCTCCTCCGTGGGAGGAAACGGACTTAGTTTGGAAAGGCTGACCCTACTCTTTGCAAGAGATCAAACAGTCCTTCAGAGTAAAGCACTGAGCCTCTGAACAGCAGCACAGCCAAGACACTTCCAAAAAGGAGTGAGAACAAATTAGCGAAGGTACAGGAACTTCCAAAAATATCTCTTCTAGGAAAGACTCCCAAACACTACCCGTGAGGGCTGATTTTTTTTGACGCACCTATTTGACGCATTTTAGTGTTGCAAAATATGGTTTTACTCTTTATGAGAAAACATATAAATGGGGGGATGTCTTTCCAGAAGGCAAGGAAAACTTCTGGGGGCAAAGAAATCTTTTCCCACAGTGAGAAAATACTGGGCTAAAGAAGTTGTCTGCTTAACTTTCAAGCTCAAAAAAACAGGAGAAAGCTCTGAACTATCTTAACAGAAATGTATCATCATACACATTTCTACCAGAAAGGCTTACGGGTGTTTGCAGATCCTGGAGAAGCTACAGTGGCTCACAGCAATTATAAATTAGATCCTCACATCCCTGGGATGAGCAACCTGAAGACGGCTGTGGGCACTGGGTTGTTAACAGCAGGATCATTTAGTGTGGCAGCTTGCAAATACTATAGCGGCCTGTGTAAGAGAAGAGAGCAGCACCTTGCTGGCATGGAGCAGGAAAACCGGAGAGGACAAAGAGCAGATCAGGGCATCCTACGTGAAGCAGGGCAGGCAGGCTGGCTGCCATGTTGAATTCGGAGACTTTGCACCACCTAACGGTTAGCTCTCCCACATCTGGTGCTTGAGCCAGGCTGATCCAGCTGCATTCCTGAACATCAGCACACAGGTGTTTCTACTGATGCTTTTCCCTGTTGGGGAAAAAAATATGTGTTCGGAACTGAGGGGGTACAGTGCAGGGGTGGAGAGACTGGTGGCCAAGCAGACCAGGCAGTTAAAAACACACTGCCTGAGGAGAAAGTAATCGGCTGGGCATGCAGGAGTCCGAGGATGAGTTGGCAGGAGGGCAAGTGTGCGTGCTGACCCAGAAGGAATGCACCCCTTGTTTCTGGAGCTTGCAGAGAGCCTTCCAACAACCTGCTGTCTTCCCCTCCCAGATGTCAGGGCCACTTAATGCAAAGTTTGATCCGAGGAGTAGGGACTAAAACAGTCTTTTTCTTTTCTGTTGTGTGTCAGCTTCGTTGCTGAATTTCTTTGTTTCCTAACTAAATCCCATCAGTGTACGCTGACTGCTTTACTTACTTGAAAGGAACTTAGCTAGGAAACGAGTTTCTCCACAAGGCTGCATTCTCCAGGGTGCTGAGAAGGGCAGAGCTAGGCTCCGCCCCTGCAGAGACAGAGGGAAAACCCTATTTATTGTCTTAGAGGAAAATTACAAACAAAAGAACTAAAAGTCTCTCCTGCATCCAGATCAAAGAAGCCTGGCATACACCATACCCATGCTGGGGAGGTAAACGCCCCTGTGGCAAAGTCCAGTGGCTGTTTATCTTCTCTTAAACGAGGAAGGCAGCATGAGAGAGAGTAGGAGAACTCTAGTTGGGAAGGTCAGATCCCTTATTTGTAAAATAAGTGAACTTCATAAGGTGACCTGCAGGGTTCAGGAAGAAGACAAAAGTTCTATGACCCCAAGAAGAAAAATAATCTCGGAGCTAAAAGAACAGTCTCAAGCAACTAATCATTCAGATTCACCAAGACCTGATTGGTTATTGAAATAAGATAAAGCTCTCCCTCCTAGAAGCCCTGAGCAGGTGCTTGCTGACTCGGTAGGTGCCTACTATAGTGGGGAAAAGATGTCCATCCCCAGGTGAGTGACCTGCGGTCAATCATCCACATTCAAATGGTTTCCCAAGGCTTGCCTCTTCAGCTGGCGTCTAGGGAATGTCTCCAGTTGAGCTAGTTGCCACAGAGCCCCCAGCTACTAGAACTGCGGTGGGTAACTGGGGGAGATCAGAGGAGACCTGATGACAAGTTCAGGACAGAATGTTCCAGACAACAACCTGAGAATAAGCCGGACTCTGTTCGCACAGCTCCCCGGCACTGACTTTGGCTTCGAGTCCCCACCGCTCTCTCTTCAGCTGGTGAGTTATAAAATGACTCCACAGTTCCTAGGAAATCACTGATCAGTGTTTGGTCAGGATTTTAAATTTAAATTAAATTTTAATTTAGTCTAGGAAGTCTTTTTGGATATGGCGTCTAGCACAGGGCTTTGCCCTCAAGAGTGTGAATCAATGAATAATCGAATGCATTGAATTAAAGTTCTATGACAGGAAGACATCAGCTGCCAGTCACCTGCACACACTCAGTTCCAGGGTCTTCCATCACACTTCCCTCAGGAACTGAGTCTGACAGAAGTCACATGAGCATATATATCAGCTCATATATTACCTTTCAGAGTTTAATATGATCCCCTGGATTTGATGCGCTGTCAGGCGGCCGGTTTCTGAAAGCAAGTGGGCTGATTTACAATATCTGAAGAGCACTGGTGAAATCTACAAGAGTGGCCCCTCAGTCATTCCCCTAAGGATCCTTCGGGAACCCAGCCATACCTGAGGAGAGTCTCCCTGCCCCGGCCACGCAGCAGCAGGATTCTCATCATGATTTCTGAGAGATTTTATTTATGTCCCTTTTCTCCGTATCCAATGGCATCTGTGGAAAGGAATCCCAACCCCATTTATGGAAGAAAAGCTTGCTGCTAAGGCAGGGTGGGGCTGCGCACCCGCAGGCTTTGCGGCAGGAGACTCGCCAGGCTCAACCTGGCATCTGACACCTCTTGACGAAGCAAGAGTGTGACCATCAGGAAGCAATGTCACTACAGTCAGATGGAAGGATAGTCAGAGTTCTGTACAATAATTTTATTTGAGTTCATTTAAAATGACAACAAGGAAAAGTGTGTGACAAACACAAGCAGCAAAATGCAGAGTAGACCAAATCCTCTTTGAGGTCCTGCTGTCCTCCACCAAGGACAAAGAGGCAGGCAGAGAGCTACCTAGTATAGAGGTGAAGCACACAAGACGCCTCCATCCTCAAGAAGCCCTCCACGGCGAAGGGTCTGAATTCCCCAACTTGTCTTCAGTCACCATGGCAAATAACCCTGAGAGCATGTCTATCATACATACAATCTCCTTTGCCTCGTGTGTGCACGCACATGTGTGTGCAACTCATTCAGACATGGCATTCTGCCAGCATAAGGCCCTTTCGTGTACTTTATGATGTTTGGTTAATGAAAACACAGAGTAGGTAGCTCTGAAAGGACATAAAGACTCACGTCTTGCTGTTCTGCTTTTCCTGGTAAGAATTCTGCACAAAATTCAACCTCAGGGACACAATGCAGGTACCATGAGAAATGCCCTGTTGCGTGCCAGGCTGAATGTCCTTCAGCAAAGCAGGCCTGGCGCGAACCATTCTCAGCATCCATATGAGAGAGAGGCAGGCATGAGAGAGTCGGCCCTTCAAATAGTGTGGTTAGCGTTTACTTCTCCCAGAGAAGAGATTCCCAGCATGTCCAGAGCACAGGTCTTCTGCAGAGCAGACTACAAGGGACCATCCCTGAAAGGCCACCTGAGATGGGCTCCCCAGACCACGTCCAGCCCTTCTCCCAGGGCTATAAGTACTGATTCAAAGTTCCCTTTTAACCTAGAGTGATTTGGGAACAAGTGAGAGAAACCCCAGTACTGTGGGGATATCGCTTTGCTTTGCCTGATAGGGACCCCTCCTCTGAATGCCCTAACGTTGGACTCTCACCTCCCTGGGAAGCACCCAGTCATCAGCCATTCAGATCCTGGGTGGAGAGGTGCTGACACCTAGGGGTGGATGGAGGAAGAGCCAGTGCGAGAGAAGGCCGCCCTGGCTGCCCGCTGTACCTCCTGGTAGAGTCCAAGAAGTGACGTTTTCCCCTAGTTCCTGTCCACCTGCCCCCAAGTCTACCTCCCTCACTCCTAGAGAAGGTTGCCGAAAACCTGTCCAGTGACCTCCCACACAGAGGGACAAATGCAAGTTTGACTGTAATTAAAACCGGCCAGTTCCCCACCCTGTCCCCACATCTGCCTGAAAAAAACAGCCACTGGGGACACTGGAGATAGAGAATATAAAGCTCCAAAAAGATGCATCCACAGGTTCTGTTCAGCAGGGACATGGGCCAGGAGGCACTAGGGAATGCCAGACCCTCCCACAGCAGCCAGGATGCTTCCTTACCAAACTCGCTCGCACAGAGATGTTCGATTATGGCTTCAGATTTCAGCTCGTTGTCACATGGGGGACACACAGTTGTGCCTAGGAAGGGAAAAGAGGAGAAAAGGGAGCTGTGAGTTATGGGGTTAAGGGCTGCAGAGAGAGATCAGCCCACAAGAATGAAAGTAGTTAAAGGTCTTCTGGAATTTCTGAAGGGCAACCCGAGAATAGAAAAGAAGACTCCTAAAGCCTAGAACCTAAAGCTATAAGCAGACATGGTTTCTTGAAAATCTTGGGGCTAAGCTGTTGAATATGGTACAACTATTTAAAGCAACAATATCTGGGGCTGGGTGGCAGAGTCCTAACTCGTGGCTTGATGGGGTATGGTGGGTCCCTGGGAAAGACTGACTTATAAACCAAACACATCTATTTCAGTTGTTGGTTTCCTGTTCTTTCTTCCCTCTCCTTTGACTATCTCCCATCCTATTCCCTGCCTCCTCCTATTCCCAAACTCCCAACAAGACAGCAGATCAATCCAACCGGCTCTCTAGGAGCCAAGAAAAAACTCAGCCAGACTCATGAACTCTAACCCCAGGCCCTGAACATCCCTCTCCAAAAGGGCTATTGCTAGCAAGAGCTGCCAAATGGGAGGACAGAGCTTGATGGGAGAGACCCTCTGGAGGCATTTTCACAACACTGTGAAGTGCTTTGAAGAGGAGATGTGTGTGTGGCCAACCTGAGGGCCACTGAGAAGTGGCCAAGCTCCAGGAGGACAAGGCATCTGAGGCCAGGGCTAGAGGCCTCCTCCAAGCTAAAATGCTAATGATGCTAGAGGGATCCCAGGGAGATAAAGTGTCTCTGTAGAAGGGCAGAGAGAAGGTGGTACAGTGGAATCCCCAGAAGGGTGTGGTGGCTTATCATCACCACCACCATCATCACCACCACAATCATCACCACCACCATCATTATCCCACCGCACCACCACCACCACCACCACCACCATCATCCCACCACCACTACCATCATTCTACCACCACCATCATCCCACCACCACCACCATCCCACCACCATCATCACCACCACCACCACCACCATCATCATCACACCACACCACCATCCCACCACCATCATTCCACCACCACCACCATCATCATCACCACCATACCACCACCACCACCATCATCACCACACCATCACCATCACCACCATACCACCACCACCACCATCATCCCACCACCACCACCACCACCACCATTATCACCACCACCACCACCACCATCATCACCACTATACCACCACCACCATCATCATTCCACCACCACCACCATCATCACCACCATCCCACCACCACCATCATCATCACCACCATACCACCACCACCATCATTCCACCACCACCACCATCCCACCACCACCACTATCATCACCATCTTTCAAACAACTTGGAGTTTTAGCCATGATCTAGGAAAGGATTAACATGTTCTAAGGGCATGCCATCCTTGGCACAGCACTAGAGGCCAAGCCAGGGCCCCTGGAGCTAAAAGGCACAGGAAAGTCACCTCAAGAAAGGATGGTATACTGAGCAACCTCTGCTCATATAGAAAGCTCTTGATCCTCCTCCTGCCCCTCCCTCTCCATGGCTTCTGGGATAGCATCTTCTCCTCAGTGGGCTCCCCTGTGGCTCAGTGAAATGGGCAAAGCCTCCCAAGATGAAGGATAAGCAGGGAACTGAACAGCTCTACCAGGCCACTGCTGCTCCCAAGACATGGCCAATCTAGAGCTAGCCACCCTCCCCCCACTTCCAAGCAGGGTCCCTACATGGTCCAGCAGAGATTATAAGCCATAGTCTTTGTTGACAGATTCCTCTCCCACCTCTTCTCTATACCCAGAGCCACACACCATCCAGACACTCAGTGTAGCAAGAACCACAGCCACGCTCCAAGCAGAAGACTGTCTTGGAAATTTGCTTTTCACCCAACAGCAAATTTGAGATTGGTAGTGTTTCTAACAAAGGGAAAAACTTCCCCAGAGTTGTACCCATGGTTCTTGCTTCCACAGGAGAAAAGCAGGGAAAGAAAGTCCCAAAATATGGGAAGAACCATGTTACTTATAGTGGGAGAGTCAAATGCGCTTTAGGGTTTTCCTTGTTCAGGTTATTTTTTTAAAAGTGAAAGCTATCATATTGCAAGATTCTATGAATAGAACCTTGGCCAATCAAGTAGCAGGGCCAGGGCCATGAAAATATAAAGGCCAGGACTCCATCAGCTCCACACACTCACATCATCTCGTCTAGACACTCTGAGTTCCCTGATCCTGCCCACGGGGCATTTCCTTCAGTGCCATCAGTGACCTTTGGCCATCAGTGCCTCTCAGGGCGACAGGAGCTCATTGAGGTGAGCTCTGTGTGTTCTCAGCATGACTTTCCCCCATCTTGCTTTCCTTATAGCAAGACTCTGGAACAGCAGCAGCTCAATCCAGAGAAGGGAGGAATGTGTAATCCAATATTAATCTGTGCCCCCTCTGATTGTCCTTGGGGCCCCACGAGCTGCCTCAGCAGGAAAAATCCACCCAATCATCTGTCTGAGAAGTGGAATAAAATCAGTTTTAAAGCACATTTAATGTAATGTTTAAAGCAAAGGACACAAAAACCAAAACGTTTTTGTGTTTTATTAACATTTAAAGGGGAGTAGAAGAGAAAGTCCAACAGCAGAATCAGGATTAAGTGAATTTTTTAAAATCAATGCACACAGGACATTCTCTACCCCCCTTTCTCTCACACGGCACATTCTCTCTCTCTCTCTCTCTCTCTCTCTCTCTCTCTCTCTCTCTCTCTCTCACACACACACACACACACACACACACACACACACAGCAGGTCTTCCCTGGTCAGCTCCTGGATACATGGAGAAGGGGCTCTATGGAAGGCTCTTGGGCATAATGAGGGCACTGTGGCCTCTGCAATCTGTGACTGAAACAGCCAGGCTGATTTAATGCACAACATGCCTAAACAACAACAAAACTAAACTAAAAGTATGTGCTTGTTCATACAACTTCAATCAGTAAAACCTGGCAGGGAAGGGGAACAACTAATCAGACTATACAGGTTTAATGTAAATGCAAGACTTAGAAATAACTTTCCTGGAAAAAGAACAATTGTCCCTCCCATAAAAGATGCTTGATGCAACTTGGGCAATGGCGTTTGGTGGGGGGTTGGGGGGTTGCCTCATTTCTCATAACTGAGTTTATCTTTAATAACATGTGGCCACAAGGGGTGGCCCAATTCCCCAAAACTGTACATGCCCAAGTATGTAAACAGAAACCAGCCAAATCATGCAGAAATCTTATGCTTTGAAAACTCAGTTTTAATTTTAAAGAATAAAAATAGGGCATGTGTACTTATTGTCATCCAAAGTACCAGTTCTTATTCAGGAGCCACTAGCCATAAGGTTATAAGGACTAGTAGTACAGTCATCCCAACCTGCACCAATACACACACACACATATGCACACGCATGCATACACAGGCATGTGCACACAGCCCTCCCACCTCCATGCTCAGCTGACAGTCAGTGGTCTTCCGGCCACAGAAGTAGCCATGTGGGGCTCTCTCTCACAGAGCGGCTGCAGTCCTGGGGAGGAGCAAATGCCCTCTCAAGACAGAGCCTCTCACCAAAGTGCTGAAGGAGAACCAGTTCCCTAGTCCCACACCTGACTGGTCCTCTCACAGCCTTTCTCTCTGGTTAGCCCCTGGTCTTAGGAGGGTGACTACCTTGGGCACTTCTGGGATGGAGGAAGGAGAGAGGATGGTACAAAGGCCCAGACAGGAGGTAGCAGACAAGTGGAACAGCAGCCAAGGAGTAAAAGGCTTCAAGAAGACACCCCAGGCTTTTGGGGGTTCAGCTGGGAGGATTCTTTCCCCTTACTAAGTAGGCACCCCAACCCTTCCCCGCATCTTCCCCTCAGAAGGTGTTCCCCCAAAGGACTCCATGTCCACCAACCAGCTGTTGCAGAAAGATGAGTGGACTCAGCCCAAGCAGAGCTGGCCACAGCCTCAGGGCAGGGCTGGGCTGGGCTAATCCCCCACTGGCCAGTGGGGAAAGGGGAGAAGGAAAATGCTGTGGGCTGCAGGGGATGGCTCCACAGAAAGAACACAAAGTGCTTTGTTTGCTCTGGTAATTGCTCAGCTCTCGCTGTCAAAGAGCTGCACTTCCCAAACGTTAACCCTGTGCAGACACCCAGGAAGTAGACAGCAAGAGGTGCCCGGACTTCCCCATGCAGGTAGGCTGCTACCTTTCCCATAGGCCGGGACCCATGCCACCCACAGTCAGTTACATTGGATTGATCTTCTCCCTCCCTAGAATAAGCAAGTGCATTCAAAGTTCAGAGTGCCCTTTCCCCACACCTACCCTCACTCTCACTCTGGGGGAACACGCCCTTCCCTTCGGTGGACATCTCTTTTTGGCATCACATGAGGATAGGCAAAGTCAGCCAGCAGCCAGCCCCCACCAGAGGCCCCCTCCTCAAAAAGCCCTCCAGATGCCTGCCCCTGTGCTAAGCATACCTGGGTATGGCTCCCCATCTCAGACTATCTCCACATCTTTGTCTCAATTCTGCTTCCAAAAAATTCAGGGTTGAATTCACTCTTAAAAAAGTCAGGCCACCAAGCTGGGGGGGGGGGGGGTTGTTTGTTTTGTTGCCTCTCAGGGATTTGTTTTCCCCCTACTCAAGAACAGCCCTTTAAGTGGGAGGGAGTTCTTGGAGGAACCTCATTCTTTCCCAGATACAGTTAGGAAAGTCTCCAATTTGCAGAACCCCACTTCCCAAGGAGAGACTAACAATGAACTAATTACATTTTTATCTTTCTAATTACCTGAGGATTTATGTAAATGAGAGAAGCAGGGGGGTATGCAAGAATGAAAAGGATGAGACTTCCCTTCCCCCACCCTCGCGGAGCTGTTATCTGAAAGGAGTGGAGAAACAGACATCCCCAGTTTCCAAACTTGCTTTCTCAGCCAGTTCTGCGGCTTGGGCTACTTGGCTGAATGACTAGTTAAGGAAAGAGTTGTTTATTTGTTTGTTTGTTTGTTTGTTTGTTTGAATCCTCATGGAACCTATGAAAATAAAGCTGCTCCTAAGCATGTTCTCGGCCTTTCTGAGCTTTCTGCACTTTGGGTTTTGGTTTTTGTCTCCTGGCGCATCCTGTCTGGGTTGATAAACACTGCGGTGAGGACTCAGTTCCCACCCAGAGGAGAGACGGGCTCTCCTTTGATTTGGAGCTTAAGGCTTTGTTTCAGGTATGGAAAAGAGAGACCGGACCCCAGGAAGAGCAACTCCAGAAGCGGGACCCAGTTTGGGGATAGCGGGAGGCGCAGCCGCCGCTGCCAGGCAAGCCCGGAGGTCGGTGCACCTGGGTCGGGAGAGGCGCTAAACAACACCTGGGACGCACTGGAAGCTTTGAGAACTCATTCTGCACAGCTTGAGAGCAATCTCTAGGGAGCACGTCCGAACTCTGAGGCCGAACGGCAGCCGAGGGTAGGGGTGGCGGCGGCTCTCCCGCAGCCCCCGCTTCAGCCTGGCGGATCCCAGGATCCCCAGGGGCCGGGACGTCGGAGAGGGTGCCCTTACCTTGGGGTTTGGAGGCTTCGGTGGCATTGGGCGGGGTCATGGCGATGCAGACGTCCCCTTCGGGGAACTTGTCACACTTGAGCATCTCGGGCCAGTAGAAGCCGAAGAACTGCATGACCGGCTCGCACGAGTCGCGCACGGCCTCGCAGAGCCAGCGGCACGGGTAGATGGGCCGGTCCAGGCAGACGGGTGCGAAGAGCGAGCAGAGGAAGACCTGGGTGCCGATGTGGCAGTTCTTGTTGAGTAGGGGCACCCAGCTGCTGGCCTGCTGCTTCACCTCGGCCATGGTCTCGTGCTCCAGCAGGTTGGGCAGCACCATCTTCTTGTAGCCCACGTTGTGGCACAGCCGCAAGTCAGCCGGGATGTCCACGCACTGCGGCGGCTTGGTGTAGAAGCGCCCGCTCTGGTAGGAGCCGATGTCCGACTGGAAGCTCACGTAGTCGTACTCGCTGGCCGAACCCGCAGCCAGCAGCCCGGCGGCCAGCGCCAGCAGCACGCCCCCGGCGGCCCCGCGCCGACCCCCCGCGCCGCGCCCGCTGCCCATGCTGGCTCGGCGCACTCGCTCCCGCGACGTCGGGGCTGCTTCGGCCGCCCTCCCGCGTGCGTCCCGCCGCAAACTTCCAGGAGTCTCCGGGGACAAAAGGCGCCGTCCCCACCCCGGCCCGGCTCCGCGGAGCGCTTCTGCCCAGTTCTCGGCGGGGGGCGGCCCTCGGCCTGCCACGGGGAGGGGAGCGCGCGCGGCCTGAGTGCTGCCCGGGCTCCCGGGCGCGCAGCACCTACTCCCGAGGCTGCAGGACTCGAGTGCCCGGTGCTCCTGTTGCAAAGCCCTCTGAGTCTCCCCGCGCAGCCAATCAGCTCCGGGCTGCGGCGAGCCGCACTCATTTAGCACGTCAGTCACCGGCGCAATTAGCCAATCGCTTTACTTGCAACAGGGTTCGGTTTACCAGAACTAAACACAGGTCAACACCCCTTCAGAAACAAAATCCAAAAATAAATAAATAAAAGAAGAAGGGGACTAAATAGAGAAAATAGGAAAATAAAAGGAAGTGTGGGGTGGATAAAGAATGTTTAACGCTGTAATTAACTTGCGTCAGATCGCAGAGAAACAAGAAATTTAACAGTACTTGCAAATCCATGAGATAATGAAGACTTTTTTTTTTTTTACACCTTTTCCTCGTTTCAAACAACAGCCCACCAGACAAGCAGCTCACCTCCTCCGTTTTGTTCTCTGTAGCTGCAATACAAAGTCGTTTCCCGACAAGCCGGGGCTCAGGAAGGCAGAAGCAACGGAGGTCTGCTTTTAAATCCCCAGCCGGCCAGGCTCGGCTCCCGCAAAGACCAGAGGAAGGAGTGTAGTTGGTGCTGTTTGCTGATTTTAAAATGCAGCACTTTTCCAGGTGGGACAACCGGATGGTGGCCCTCCAACAACATCGGAGGCATTAAGTAAATGTTGGTCAGTGTGGCGGGAAATATTGCTTGCAAAGGTGTTAGCTTTGAGAGGGCAGTTTAAAAGGGGGGCGGGGGACCTACTCAAGTCCCAGCCCGACAGCATGTCTGTGTGTGCACGCATATCCACATTGACATGTTTGTGGTGTAGAAAGCCAAAACATTAAAAACACATGTGCACTTATCAGCATGGTGTGTGTAAATATCAAATCCATCACTCAGGCACACATGCTACATTCAGTGCTGGCCTAGGAAACTCAAGTCAAAATCAAGGGCTCCCATTAAGGCAGAAAGCAAGGGAAGAGTATTAGCAGAAACACAGCTGGGCCTTCTCACCTAGCCCCCCAGGAACAGAAGTCTCCCTGCCACCCACCGCCTCAGAGTTCCTGAGAATTCTTTGTTTCAAACATCCAGAGAACTGGGAGTGTGAATATGACTGACCCTAGGAACAGGAGACAAGAGCAAGCAGTTTATGAAGTTTGCCAGTCTGGACTGTGTGTGCCCTGAAGTGTGGGTGAAAGGAGGAAAGGATGCTGAAAACCCCAATCTGAGCTGTGTGATACCGCCCCACATGGCAAATGGGCCACAGACCTTATTGCTTAAGGCAGACACTGTAGGAGGCGCTGCCTTGCCAGCCAGCTTGTTTGTAAGGCTCCAGGGAAGCTGGCTTTGGACTCTGCAGACCAAATTTTTTGATGGACAGATTCCAAGTAAAGCTACTTGAGTTTATGAAGAAACAAGACTGTTTTCTTAAAGCACTAGTGCCCATACGGTGGTTGATTCCACTACGCACACAAAACACATCTGCAGATCAACTTCTCTGCCATTTCTAGGTTAAAGAAAGGTGCACTTGCCCTGGCCGGTTTGGCTCAGCGGTTAGAGCGTCGGCCTGCGGTCCTGAGAGACCCGGGTTCGGTTCCCGCTAAGGGCATGTACCTCGGTTGCAGTTTGTCCCCGGCCCTGGTCGGTTGTGCGGGTGGCAGCCACTCGATGTGTCCCTTTCACATCGATGTTTCTCTCTCTCTCTCTCTGTTCCTCTCTCTCCCTCCCACTCTACCTGAACAAAAAATGGAAAAGTGTCCTCGGGTGAGGATAAAAAAAAAAGAAAGGTGCACTAAAGCCAGAGGAGCAGACGGAGGGAAAGAGATGGAGAGAGATAAAGCAAGAGTTTGGGTGGCAAAGAGTTAATCCCTAAACAATTGGTGGAGCTCAGCTGAGAAGCTGGGGAAGACATTCCTCACAGAGAATAGACCGCAGGAGACCCGGCAACTGTGTCTCAATTCAAGGGGCATTTAGAGAAAAATGCTGTTTGGTAGGGGGTCCTTTTCTCTCCTCCAGCCAGGCCCTCAGTCCCTAGCCAAATGTGTCTGTTTACTCACTTCTTGGAATGAGTTGTGTTAGTAAATAACATCCTCTCAGCTCTGAATCCAGGCTTGGCTCATCTCTCACTCATATTTTGTACAGTTTCCCCAAACTCAAGTTCTTGAGTGTGTCCACCATTACAATTCTGGAAATCCATCCAGGTGACTGTACCTCCACCAGTCCCGGAGCTGCCAGCCAGGAGTAAATCTCACAAATCCATTCAAGGGAGAACTAGCCTGTGTCTGGTTGATCCCCGTTGACTTTGATCACCCACAATCCCTAACTCCCCACCCCAAACCCAGATGGTCTTACTGCTTTAGAGAGAGGTCTCTTAGGCCATGCTGGAGACACAAGTGTCTCAAGGGCAAAGAAGGGGTGTGGGTATAAATATGATGCCAGAATCCTAAACCCAGTACATTTCTGGCTCCTTCCAAGGCCCAATTGGAAAGGAAGGACTTAGGTCTCAGTCCTACCAACAGATTTTATCCTACACCTGGAATTTCTGGAGGATGACTGTCAGTCACGTATCATGTAATGGCACCAGGCAGAAAAGCCTGAAGACTCTGTGGTTTAGTGCTGTGTACAGTTTTGCATTTTGCCTTGTTTTTTGTGGGTTTTTTGTTTTTGATTTTGTTTTTGTCCTTTTTCATATTGTCAAACTTTTGCATTCCAAAGCCCAGTCTCCCTTTTCCTAATGGCAAGAGTGTGTGTGTGTGTGTGTGTGTGTGTGTGTGTGTGTGTAGGAGGAAGTTTTAGAACAATGGTTCTTTTTTTATTGTTTTTTTAATAGAAACATTCACGTGAGCAAGACACATCAACTGGTTGCTACCCTCACGACCCTAACCAGGGCCAGGGACAAACTGCAACCGAGGTACATGCCCTTAGCGGAAACTGAACCCAGGACTCTCCGGTCCACGGGCCAATGCTCTTACCACTGAGCCAAACTGGCCAGGGCAGAACAATGGTTCTTTAAACATGCTATTGACATGACAAAGCTTCTAGAATCCAGGGTTCTTGAATATGAGAACAAGGGCAAAACACAACTTTCAACTTATGTTTTTCATTTCAAAAAAGTTCTAATTTTCCCACACTGCCAGATGCCTGTGCATGAAAATTGGAAGTGTGTTGCCTGTTGCTTCATAACATCAGCTCCAGGAGGTATTCATCAGTCTCCCTGTTGCCCAAAGCTCACTGTCAGGCCAACCAGGTCACTGAAGGGCCTTTCAGGTACCTACCTGGTGGCCTCTTCCCACACACAAAGCTCCGTCCTGCCCACTCCTAGAAAAACAGGGTGGGGTGGGGAAGAGCCTGTCTGCCCTGTTCCCCTTATTCGGTTCCATTATCATATCATCAGTGATTTTTTACGACATTCTCCAAAGATACACTCAAGATCCTCTCCATCAGCCAGAAGTTGTACAGTGAGGCAGGAGGGTCTCCTGCGTATGGGGTGGTGGTGACTTTGGTGCAATAAAGAAAAAAGCATTCTGGCCCAGAGTCAAGAAATACAAAGTATGGCCTTGGTTCTGCTTACAAGCTGGGTGACTCTCATTTTATCCCTCTGGCCTTAGAGTTCTCATCTGTAACTCAGAGCTATAATGCCTGCTCTTCTTCCTCATGAACTAAAATGTGTGAATTATCAATAGCTAATGTTAGTGAGACACATAGGCTTTCAGTAAAATGTGAAATGTTTAAAGTGATATTCCATATAAGACATCATGAAGCACCATAATGTCCTTACTTGAACAAGCTTCTTTTCCATTCTGCCTCTGTGGAGGTGCAAGTATCATGCCCACCTTACTGATCCCGAGCCACTCTGACTCAGGAACTGGCCTGACCTGCTATCTCGGATTTGAGAATGTCTAGCAAGACTCATAAAAATTCAGAGTGGAAGGTAACTCCACCGTTAGGCAGATTGGGCGCTATCTCCTACCTACACCCAGAGCACTTGCGCGCCCTCACCTGGCCGTTTTATAACTGCTTGCTTTGGGGCATCTACTACATGACAGTGAGCTCTTGGAGAGTCAGCATCTTGTCTCATTTTGTCCATTTATCTCTGCATACCAGCTTCTAGCGTGGTGCCAGGCAAACAGCGAGTGCTCAGTAAGGCCCTCCACCCCAATAAATGCATAAACCTGTAGTAGAGGGAGGAAATACCCAGGCTAGGAGAGGTACTACACTTGAGCATTGATTTTGCACCAGGGGTCCAGAGAGCCAAGGCAATAAGTAAGCATGAACCCCTCATATAGTTCTCTTTGTCTGCAGGAAAGGAAAATCTCTCCTACATCTGAGGCCTAAGGGCACTGATCATTGGAGCAGAGTGTGGGACTTTTGTATTGGCTCTCCTCGCATCTCGGAGCCCACCTGTGGACCGATGCCACAGCCACCTCGTATCTCCCCAGGGCCTGCACCAGTAGGCTGCTCAGTAAAGAACAGGTTAGTGAATGTAGTGGCCAATTCGGAATGGAGAACAGAACTTCTGTAAATCCTACGTGGACACTGACCCCCAGACCCTAATGCAATCCTGTGTAAAAACAGGGGCTAGTGCCTAGAGGCAGTGGATTCTGAGAGCCTCTGACAGCACTTGGGCTTGAAGTGAGGGCCGGAGAAGCTGGAGGGGCCCTGCCTGTAATACCTGTGCCTAGGTCCTGGTTTTAGAGCCCGAGGCTTCGAGGCTTCGCTGGGACACCGCCGGGCAGGAAAACTGGGCGTTTAGGAACCCCCTCCTTCTGGTGATCCCAGGGAGTGAAAGTGAAGTGGCACATGCTTCGGTGACGGGAGGCCCGTAAATCTGCCGAGATTGCTGCAGGGCGGCAGCAGACATTCCCCTAGGAGCCATGTGCTTATTTACCTAACCCTTCGTGGCAGGCGCGCCAGACGGCTCCACCGCCTTTCTCAAGGGTTGGAGCTGAGAACAACTCCGATATAAATGAGGTGTTGGGGGGAGGAGCGGG